CTATAGACAGAGCCGGCCCACTTTCAGTTACTCCAATGTGTGAGCATCCGCTTTCAGAAAAAAACCAAATGAGGAACAACCGTTCTCTGTGAAGAACTCACTCTAGGATCCTCAGCGATGTGTTTTCCTGTTGAATTTCAATGAGGATTTTTCTGCCTGGCATTGATTTATGCTCCCAACCTTTCAGGCACTCATGGTTTGTATAAAGGGAGGACCGCGCACATCAGAGGCGTGTGCGTGCAGCTGATCTCAGGGGAGATCCACCCGCCCACTGGAAATGTGGGGCTGGCAGCAGTGGGGAGGCGGCTGAGCTGTGTCCCTCCCTCTGCCTCTGCACCCCCACTCCCCTGTGTACTCACATGTCTGCCTCCCAAGGTGGGCTGTTCTGATAGAGATCTGGGGGTTTGGACCTTGGCAACAAGCCAGTGCTTCTAGGAGGGGCAGAGCAAAGCTGCTTCCACCCTCCAGGCCCCTCACCACTTTCCTTTTGCTCCTTTCAAGGCCCTCCCGTTTTGATCGTCCAGGTTTTCATCTTCCCTCCCTCCTCTCAGCTTCCCACAGCCTTGTCCCAATCCTCCCTACACTGGACAGCCTGCATTCACCTCTCAGCCCAGCTCTTCACCTTCTCCACATGCCCAGTACTGTTTGTGCCAGTGGGCATCCTGCCCAGGGGGACGGTAGGATGGGCCATTTATGGCTGACAGCACCAGGCCAGGCCAGCCCCTGCTGGGCAAATCCTCCATGCCGAGCCTCTCTGGGCTGGCTCTCTCCTTTATCCTTTCAGGTCTAGGGCCAGTCATGGCCCCCAGGCTGCCAGCCCCCAGGTCCGTATCACCCTTGTTGGTTTCTAGTGTCCCATGTGCACGTATGGTAGACTGTCCCCATTTGAGGGTGGTTTTCTTCCTCGCAGGTCCTATCCCCTTTCTTTGGTCCGTCCCTGTCCTCATCTTTTCTCTTTTGCCTCTCCTGGGGCTCACTGCTGCTGAGAAGGGGCTAGCTCCTGGGGTGGTGGTGGCCCAGTGGGGCCTGGGGTCCCCAGGCGTGGTGAGGCCCATCAGTCACTTGGAAGATTCTGAAATTCAGTTATAACCCAAGCCCAGGGGAGTTGCTTCAGGTTAGTCAAACTCTCAGGAAGCAGATTTAGAAAACAGATTCCTTCCCTCAAGGCGTCTAATGCGGGGTCACATGCTCAGTGGGATGGAAATATCCAGTTATCTGCCCACAACCTGCCACCTTGGGGCAGGGAGGAGAAATTTGATTCCTTGCAGCATTTTCCAGAAAACATTGATCTCATGAAATGGTCCTTACCAAAGGGGATTCCATGGTCAAATCAGTTAGAGAAACTCTGTATTCTGTAGATTTCCAATATGTTCCCTTTCAGCAAAGGCTCTGAAGTGGCCTGCAGTACAGTATCCTGCTCATTCTGTGTTTGGCCCAGGGTCCCCAAAGCTAGATCAGGGAACCAAAATACTTTTTTGCCCCTAATGACTCATTTCCTGCACCCAGGCTTCTGCAGAACACACTTTGGGAAACCTTGACCTCAAGCCCAGTGTGCATGGCTCTGTGCTGTGGAGAAATAGAGCAGGTTTTGAGCTGTGCAGATGAGGCCGGGGTCCTGGCTCTGGTTCTTAGTGGCAGGCAGGTTTGGGAAAAGCATTTACCATCTTCTAAATCTCAGTTTCTTCATCTCTAATAAGGGAAGAATCCATTGCTCTGAGGATTCAAGGTAATAATCATATTTTAGTAGAGACTTTATTGGTTGAAAGAACATGATTTGTGTTAAACAAAAAGGAGAATTTATTGGAAAGATGCTGAGTGTCTTCGGGCACCCCGAGGGCAGGTATGCAGCATGAGGGCCAAGTATCAGCAGGTGAGTGGTGACCTTGGCAGTGTCCATACTCTGCCCTTTATCTCAGTTTCTCTCTGCACATCTGCTTCCTCTGGAGACCATGTTTGTGGCTTCCAGGGGTGTGGGGCTGGATGTGCCCACTAGTAGTCCCCATGGCAGCCTCAGCTCCTGAGTTCTCATCATCTCTTCCTTGCTGTGGTCTAGACTGAGGGCAGGGCCCCTCAGGCAAATTCCAACACCTCCCCCACCTCACTGAGAGAGAGCCTGATTGGCTCAGCCTGATTCTGTTCCATCATCTGTGGCCAGGATGTGGGGGTCACCCTGGTGCCACACACCATGGCTTTTCTGCCTCAGGAGTGGTTCTTAGCACACATGGTACCGGGACACAGGCTGAGTAGATGCCCACAAGGATGTCCTACAACATGAAAAGTGCCTGAAAGTGGGATCAGTACTCAGTAAGTGAAGCTGGTATGATCAAGCAAATTCTGTGTCTCCAGCTGAGAAGGAAGTGGAGTATAGCAATAACAAGAACTGTCATCCATCGGGAAGAGCTCCACTCATACCCCTCAAACTTCCCTGCGCATAAAATCACCTGGACATAGGACACAAGAAATATTACCGGAAAAAAAAAGCCAAAGGATAATTCAGACTACATTCAAATGAAAAACTCTGTTCATCAAAAAATATCATTAAGAGTAAAAAGATAAGACACCAAGATAAAGAAGATATTTACAATATGAATATCCAACAAAAGACTGGAATCCTGACCATATACAGAACTATAAATCGATAAGGAAAAGACAGGCAATCTGATTAAAAAACTGGCAAAAGATCTGAACAGATACTTCCCCAAAGAGGATGGCCAAATGGTCAATAAACATAAGAAAATCTGCTCAACATCATTAGTCTTGAGGGAAATGCAAGCTGAAGCATAAAACGATCCCACTACACACCCACCAGAATGGCTCAAATGAAAAGAGACATGTACCAACTGTTGGGGAGGATGTGGATCAACCAGAACTCTCAGACACGGCTGGTAGAAGTCTAAATTTGTACAGCTACTTTAGAAAATCACTCATGGTATCTGTTGAACCTGTACACAAGCAAACCCGTGATGAAACATTCCACTTGTAGATACGTACCCTTCAGAAATACATACAGATGTCCACAGAGATACGTGTAATAGAATTTTCATAGCAATCCTTTTTTGCTATCTTAAAGCTGGATACAACACGATGCTCACCAGCAGCAGAATGCTGACAAATTATGGTACAATCATAGGCTGGAACGCTACTTAGCAGTGAGAGCTAATAAACCACCACTGCCCAGAACGACATGAACGAATCTCGCAATGTCAAGCAGGAACAGCCAGACCCTGGTGCCTGGAGAATTCCATACACATGAAGTCCAAAAGCAGGCAAGACTTGTCTAAGCCATTAGAAGTCAGGGGAGTGGCACCCTCTGGAGAGGTTGGTGGGAAAGGGGCAGGAGGGGGCTATTAATGTTCTATTTCCTGATCTGGTGTAGATTAAACAGATGTGCAAGTCGTGAGAATGCATTGAGTAGTTCATTTATGGCTTGTATGCTTTCCTGTATTTATGTATCCATTAAATAACATTTATTTAAAAAAAAAACCCTGGGGGGCTTATGTTAAAGTGTAGATTCCTATGACCTGTTTCCAGAGATTTTGATTCGTCGAGTCTCAGGAGGGACCTGGGAGTCTGCATTTCAACTAGCTCTCTGGATGATCCTGGGGCAGACTAAGACCAGCAGACTGTAAGCCTGGCCCTGGCCAGTGCTGGGAGGGTTGGAGTGGAGCTTGGCCATTCTTGGTGGCCAGTTCCATTGACCCGAGGTCTAGGGGGAATGTTTCAGGGTGTGAGCAGGAGATGGTGAGGTGGAAGGGGCAGGAAGAGTCTGTGCACCCGAGGGAGCCGTGCTCTCTGGAGTGCTCTCAGAAAAGACTCAGACATGATTTATCATTGCCAGCCTTTCTCAGGTTGAGGCTTGGGTACCAGGAGGGCTCTATTAAATGTACTGATTAAGTGACTCTCTGGGCCTTAAGTTATTCACCCATAAAACAAAGGGTGCGACCTTGTGACCCCAACCTCTCCGTTCACCTGGCCACCTCCAAGCAGCTCTCTTCTAGTCTTAATCTGAGACGCCTCCCCAAATACTTCTTGGAGGCTGCTGCTGCTGACAGCACTGGCTGTGGATGGTCTAACCAGGGTCACTTTCATATCAATTTCTTCCCTAGCCCTGCCCCTTCACTGACCAGAAGCTCCTGGAGGGCAGGGCTGGGCTCACTCATCCTTGTTCCCAAGCACCCCACACCGTGTCAGGCACAGTAAAAGTTGAAATGAAACCTCCTGGGGCCTCCCTGCCCTGACATGCCAGGGTTCTGGTTCCTTCCTTTCTGGGAATAGTACGAGAACACACAGGTCCCCAGGGGTAAGAGGGCCCACCATGCCGTCCCACCTCCAGCTCATCTATGATATGACTTGACTCTTAGTGGATAAGGGGATCCAAGGAGGCATCCGCTCAACCCTCCCTCCTGCCTGGAGCTCTGGCAGGCAGGCAGGAAGGCGGGCGGGCACATGAGAGGGTGGGTGGTTCTGGCTGTCTCTGCTGAGTTCACTTAGCGGCTGAGTTATTAACTCCTGGCTTGGGCAGGGCAGCGAGGGCCCTGGACACCCCTTGGAGCCGACAGGGGCAGGCCTGCGCTAATTGAAGGCTTAATTAATTTTCCCATTGGAGGCAGCAGCCGGTGCCTTCTCTCTGCCATCTGGCCATTTGTCTTCTCCTGGTGGGATCACCCTCTGCCTGCCTGGGGAGTGCTGAATGCTCCTCCGTCTGGGCCCCGAGCACTGCGGGCTCCCAGCCTGGCTCTCCACTCTAGAGGCCCCTCTGCCACTTCCTGGGACCAAGGGTCACTCCTCGTCCTTCAGCCTTCAGGGTTAACCCAAGCTTTGGGTGTTTCCACACAGGCACTGGGGCCCTGCCAGCCACATCTGAGTGGTCCACCAGAATGTTCCAGAGGTGGGCAGGCTGAACACTTTCTTCTGGCCTTCCAGGTCATCTCTGAGGACACAGGGTATCAATCTTCACACCCACTACTGTTTGTGTGAATGAGCCAGAAGTGAGTGGGTGGCCCAAGGGGTTTGCTGGCTACAGCAGCAGGCAGAGGAGAGAAGCGCTGCCCAGAGGTGATTCCCCAAAGCAGACAGAGGGGGGAACTAAGGCTAGGAAGCTCCCACAACAAGCCAGGCTCTGAACCGGAACCTCATCCAGTCCTAACACTCAGCATTTTGGGGTGCCTGTAAGGTCCGACTGTACAGGTGGGCAGGCGGTTAGCTCATTTGATCAATGTCTTATTGTTGGCACGTGGGGTCTCCAAGGCTGGATGCTCCAGAGCCACTGGGGACTCCTGGCTAAAGGTACCTGTGAGTTTGTGCTGGCCATTCTGGGCCCAGGAAACGTTTCCAGGACTTCTCCAGATATGAGGACCTGAAACTGGCGTACCATCTGTGATCTTGTGCAGTTTCCTGCTTTACTTCTTCCTCGTACCAACTCAGCTGCCCAGCCCCTACAGAGTGAGAAGGAGGCAGTGTCAGGCAGAGGGAGAGCACTAGATGGGCTGTCAGGGGGCCTTGGCTCTTGCCTTACTTTGCCACTGGCCTGATGGGTGACTGGGCTTTATTTTGGGCCTCAGTCTCCTCATCAGTAAAATGGACATTAACAATCACTGGGCTGTCGACTTACAGACAATGAAGGGCTCCCATGAGACTGGGTATCACTAGGGATGTTCTCATGGAGGGTCATCAATATCACTGGCCTAAGGTGCCCATCATCCCCTGGCACCTTCCAGGCCTCTTGCTACCCACCCACACCAGGAAATGCCAGAGCCTAAGGGACCTGGCTCTGGGCTCAACTCTGCTGTTCACTTGGTGTGACCTTAGACAAGTCACCCAACTTCTCTGAAACTTGTGCCATCCTCACCAGGGTAGGGGTGAAGATAGACCAGGCTCTGTCCTAGGCAGGGCTTTGCCATGAGGCATGAGGGCGACATTCACACACGTGGGGTGAAAGCTAGGACTGGTGAGGGTTGTAGATGACTGGGGTTAGGGACTTTAGGGACTGAAATCTGATCTCAGATTGGAGTAGAACCAGGATTCCTGTCCATTCCTGGTTAGGAACAAAATCTCAGACCAGAGTTGGGATTTGTGTTCTGAATGCTGCTTGGGTCAGGGCTGGGGTTGGGGTTGGGGTTGGGGTCTGCATCGGGACTGTATCAAAGGCCCAGGTGGAACTGTGGCAGCACGGAGAGGGACAGAAGCGGGAATGGGGAGTGTGAACTTGGCCCTGACCCACTGGGGGCTCTGACCTGGTCACTCTGCCTCTTTCAGGCTCAGCCTCCTTGTCTGTGAGTGGTGGGGGTCGGAGTCGTCACTCTGTCCTGTGTCCTTGCAGCTCTCATAGAACAGCACTGGCCACCATGCTGTGAGATGTTCCTCCATCAGGCTCGCTGCTCGTGTTCTCTGCATACTGTCTTCTTCAATTATGACAAGCAAAGGAGAAAACAGAGGCAAAATTACCTCTGTAAGCTATAAGCGACCATAAGCCCGAAAATATGTGAGGCTTATATTTGTGTCGGGCATTGAGTTTCTCCTGCTTCCTCCATGAGATCAGCCCCCTTCGGCTGTACCCCCAAATGACACAGGTTTGTCCTCTGGAGCTTCAGGCTGCAGACTCTGCTTCTCCTCCCCTCCCAAGTCCTGGGACTGGGGAGAGGGAACCAGAGCTGCATCAGAGTCTTGCAAGGAGCAGCAGGGAGGATCCCTCCTCAACCACCGCCACCAACTCCCTGCTCCCCTGGCCCCTCCAAAGGCCTCTAGAGACCCTTCCTGCTGCAGTGGGAGCTGTTAAATGGGACCATTGTGGCATCCAACTCAGAGGGTCTGGCTCTGACCCCTAGCGCTTGACGGGGGGACTCCCACCATTCTGGCCCTTCCACTGGAGCAGCTTCCAGCCACAGTACCATGGACCCCAAGCTGGGCTGGGCACCCATTCCTCCCTCCCCAGCACATGGCAGCTAATGACAAGTACACACCTTACTCGGAGGCCCGCTGAGCTGTGTCAGAGCCTGTCAGCCTCTTAAAGCCACTCTTGGGGGCAGGTGACCCTGGGCCTCCACTGACAGAGCCATGGCCTTTTGTTCTGGCTTTGAGTCCGAGGTCTGGGGTGCATCACGCCTACCCCTATCCCCCAATCCGCCTTTCTGCACAAAGCTTTAGACTTGCCCCCCTCCTGGCAGGGATGGATGACCATGCACAGGCTAATGTGGGAATAAGCTTCCTGAATTGCTTCCATCTGCTTGCAGTGCTTTGATATTGTCACTCAGAGTGGCAGCTCTAAGAGTATGCTCTCCAGGCCTGAAACACTCCCTATTCCCACCAAGTGGCCTCGCGGTGTCCCTGGAACGTGCTGCAGGCTTCTGTTGCCAAATCTTTGACTTGTGCTCCCTCTGCTTGAAATAGTGCTGCTCCGTGAATCCATTCCTAACTCTACTCTGTGGGGCCTCAGAGGCAGAAGCAGGCTTCCCTAAACCCATGAAGCCCTCCTGGCCTGTGGCTAGGGGACAGGGAGGTGGCTGGGGGCGGGGCCAGAGCTGGGTCTGGTCTGAGTGAGGCCAGTCCAGATGCAGCAGTGGCTTCAGCAACAGCAGGACAGCAGGTCTGTAAAGCAGACACTGGCTCCATCAGCCAATGGGGTGTCCATTCACAAGGGGGTGTGCCGGGGAGGCAGACCTGAACATCATTTGCCCCTGTCACCTCAGTCTTCACATCTGTGATGGTCTTGGGTCCCTGAGCCCCTTCTGGCCCTGACCTTCTGAGTCACTGGGAGAAATGGAGGCACAGACTGGGAAGGATCTGATGGGGGAGGCGAGAGGGTGATTGGCATGAAGGTTCACAGCTCAGAGGAGAGGTTGGTAAGAGGCCAGCTGAGGCCTGCAGGGTGGGCGGGTGAGATTGGGAACACACTCTGCCCTCCTCACCACTGTTTAGGGTCTCTCCCCCTTTTTCCCAGAGGGTGAGGGGCTCCAAACCTGGGGAGCCTGGGCTGTGCCCTGAGCAGACACTAGAGGATGCTGGTCTCTTTGTGAACTTGGTGGAAGTTACACTCTGGGAAGGGGTTGATGGGGGAGGGGCATGTTTTGGTTAGGATGAGCCTGGACTGACCAGCCAAGCTGGGGAGGAGAGGCAAGCTGCTGGGTCCCTGTGGTACTAGGGTCAGCCTTCTGTGGGGACAACACTGGAGTCTCTCGATAAAGTCCTCCCCTCTGTGTGACACTGTGATACCTTCTCCACATCCATGTCTGGCATGGCCATCTCAGAGCTCCACCCCTGACCAATTAACCTTGGGCGAGTTAATCTCTCTAAGCCTCAGTGAGGCTACTACTATTAGGTGCCTTACAGGCTCTGGTGTCAGCAGTGAGGGCCTCCCCGTCCAGCCTTCACTCTCCAGGGAAAGAAGAGAGGGTAGCTCCGGGTGACCCCTCACCAAAACAAAGAAGCTTTGGGGTACAGACACCTCCCTGAGGGTCCCTTCCTGGATGGAGATGAGCCCAGGCCATGGCCCTGCCCCTCAGCCTTGGAGCCAATAATGGCTGGGTGCCTGGAGCCCCGAGGCCTGCTGCCAACAGCTCAGGCATGGTGTGTGGGGTGGGGGGGCATGGAACCCCCCAGGGACTCCTTGCAGCCTCTGTGCTCAGCACTCTGCTGGCTCCTGTCTGGTCTTTGAGCATCTGGCTTGAGCCCCTCTCCATGTGGAATTCTCTCCCTCCAAGACAGAGCCTGATGGTCCAGTTGGCTAGCCCTTGCCTAGAAGGTACTAGGCTATACTATTCAGCCATACAAGAATATACATATATTCATTTTCATATTCTTTTTCCACCATATGCTACAAGATATTGAATATAGTTCCCTGTGCTATACAGTATAAACTTGTTTATCTATTTTATATATATTAGTCAGTATCTGCAAATCTCGAACTCCAAGTTTATCCCTTTCTATCCCCTCCCTCCTGGTAACCATAAGTTTGTTTTCTATGACTGTGAGTCTGTTTCTGTTTTGTAAATAAG